ATACTTACAATATATTTTTTAAGTAAATCTTCTGAGCTATTTTTTTCAGTGTAGGCTTTGCTTATGCATCTCTTTGATGAATTATAGCTTGCATATAGACAAGTTAACTTTATCACAATTCGGTAAAAAGACAATTAGAAGAACTTTACATGAATCAAACATTAAAATAGAAGGAAAATATAGCAAGCAAAGATAAAAACAGGATTAAAGCAGGAAGTGAAGCAGATAAAACAGCTGACCCACAAACTTAAACTAATGATAGCTCAGTTAACAGTTTAACTTGAACAGCGTGGTTCAACTTTGAAATATTTAGTACCCACTGCAGTAGGGGTGATAAATATGATAATCAAACAGATATTATCTTGCTGGTTTTGTGTTAGAACAATAAATGAAAGTGTGCATCAAGATCAAATTATGGTAAAACAGATAATTCTGCACATACATGGAAAGAATTTACCACAAGTTTAATAAGAAAAATCATTCAGCTCCAAGTCAAACATATTAGACACTGCTGTTCTGTCAGACCAGCATACCCCATCAGACCGGCATACCCCATCAGACCAGCATACCCCATCAGACCGGCATACCCCATCAGATCAGTGTGCCCCATCAGACCAGCATACCCCATCAGATCAGCATGCCCCATCAGACCAGCATGCCCCATCAGACCAGCATACCCCATCAGACCGGCATACCCCATCAGACCAGCATCCCCCATCAGAGCAGCATGCCCCATCAGACCAATTCAATTCAGTTTATTTATATAGCGCCAAATTCACAACACATGTCATCTCAAGGCACTTTACAGTTCAACCTGATCATACAGTCAAATTGATACAAAGTTTTCTATCTAAGGAAAACCAGTTGATTGCATCGACTCAAATACAATCCCTCACACTAAGCATGCTTGTAGCGACAGTGGAGAGGAAAAACTCCCTTTTAACCAGCATCCCGCATCAGACCAGCATACCCCATCAGACCAGCATACCCCATCAGATCAGCATACCCCATCAGACCAGCATACCCCATCAGACCAGCATACCCCATCAGATCAGTGTGCCCCATCAGACCAGCATACCCCATCAGATCAGCATACCCCATCAGATCAGCATACCCCATCAGACCAGCATACCCCATCAGACCAGCATACCCCATCAGACCGGCATACCCCATCAGATCAGTGTGCCCCATCAGACCAGCATACCCCATCAGACCAGCATACCCCATCAGATCAGCATACCCCATCAGATCAGCATACCCCATCAGACCAGCATACCCTATCAGACCAGCATACCCCATCAGACCGGCATACCCCATCAGACCAGCATACCCTATCAGACCAGCATACCCTATCAGACCAGCATACCCCATCAGACCGGCATACCCCATCAGACCAGCATACCCCATCAGACCGGCATACCCCATCAGACCAGCATACCCCATCAGACCAGCATACCCCATCAGACCAGCATACCAAAAGTCAATTCACATTTGCAAGATGTCAGATCTGCATTTATACCTTTAGTTTTGTACGAAAAAGATCAGATCACCATACGCTTCAAAAAACACCAAAAAGTAAGTACTTAAATAGTTTTTTTGCGAATGACTAAAGGGATACATGCCCATTGAGGTAGTTTGAAGTTTATTTTTTCATACAAAACTAAAGAGATAAACTAAAGGGATACATGGGTATTGACTATGGGTATGCTGGTCTGACTGGGAATGCTAATCTGACAGAACACTGGCCCCAGCAGACCCTGACAGGGCATGGCAGGGTAGATATAGATGGGTGAGATGGGTGTATATATTTCAATTCAATTTATCTATATAAATCCAGTTCACAACACGTGTCATTTCAAGGCACTTAACAATTCAACCAGATCATCCAGTCTAATTTATTTAAAGTTTTCTGTCTAAGGAAAACCAGTTGATTGCATCAACTCATTGGCTCGAAGGCAATCCCCTACAACAAGAATTTATTCAACTTTTTTGTTTCAATAAACGTTTTGAATTTTCCTACTGACTGTCTCACCTTGAATACTGGGTCCATCCGTCCGGTTTCTTGACAGAAACCTCCTATAGAACCAGGCTCAGTGTGAGCGGCCATCTGCTGAGGCCGACTGGGGTTCAACAAGACAGAAGCAGACGTACAGAAACAAGCAGACAACATGAACTTGTCAACCAGCTCCACAGGCGGCCCCGTCCAGGAAATACACAGCCAGGCAGATGAGCTCTGAACCAGCCACCCACGTCAGAGGATGAAGGCAGCACATCCAGCCAGTCATAGAGAAACAAGACTACACTGAAAAACAGGCCGAGCTCCAATATCTAAAAACAAAGGTGTTGATGGCAGCAGCACAGCTGATATTTCTCTCCAGGATGGAGTCACACCCAAACAGGAACAGACCAGATGAAGCTACTATGAGAAAAAGCAGAGAGAGCAGAACGTTAGAGATTGAACTAACAGATTCTGCAGAGTGGGAGAATAAAGATTGAATGATGAAAAAGGGGTCCTTATGTCCTCCAGCAGTCTAAGCCTATAGCAGCATAACTAAAGAGATAGCTCAGGATAACCTGAGCCACTCTAACTAGAAGCTTTATGCTTTATCTAAGGTGTCCAGAGCTGCAATTCACTGTTTGGCTTATTTGATATTTCAAATGATGAAGTAACCCTCCCTGATCTGCCACCTTATTGTGGTGGAGGGGTTTAAGTGTCCCAATGATCTTAGGAGCTAGGCTGTCTGGGGGCTTTATGCCCCTTAGTAGGGTCATCCAAGGCAGACAGGTCCTAGGTGAGGGGCCAGACAAAGAGCAGCCCAAAAGACCCCTTATGATGAATACAACAAATGGATCTAGTGTTCCCTCGCCCAGACGCGAGTCACCGGGGCCCCACTCTGGAGCCAGGCCTGGAGGCGGGGCACGCTGGCGAGTGCCTGGTGGCCGGGCTTTTACCCATGGAGCCCGGCCAGGAGAGGAAACATGGGTCCCTCTTCCAATGGGCTCACCACCTGTAGGAGGGGCCAAAGGGGTTGGGTGCATTGTGTGATTCAATTCAGTTTATTTCTATAGCGCCATGTCATCTCAAGGCATTTTACAGTTCAACCAGATCATCCAGTCAGATTGATTCAAAGTTTTCTATATAAGGAAAACCTGTTGATTGCATCGACTCATTGACTCTTCAGCAATCCCTCACAGTAAGCATGCTTGTAGCGACAGTGGAGAGGAAAAACTCCCTTTGAACAGGAAGAAACCTCCAGCAGAACCAGGCTCAGTGTGAGCGGACATCTGCTGAGGCCCACTGGGCAGAGGAGCTCTGAGCCAACTCCCATGTCAGATGATGAAGAGAGCAGATCCAGCCAGTCACAGTCAGAAAAGCAGGACTACACTGGAAAAACAGGCCGATCTCCAACATCTATAAAGAAAGGTGTTGATGTCATCAGCACAGCTGATATTTCAATCTGAAAAACTCACAAAAAAAGGGGACTGGAGAGTGTGTTCCAACTACAGAGGAATCACACTCTTAAGCCTTCCTGGTAAGGTCTATTCCGGGGTTCTGGAAAGGAGGGTCCGTCGGATATTCAAATCTCGGATTCAGGAGGAGCAGTTTGGTTTTTGTCCTGGCCGTGGAGCACTGGATCAGCTCTATACCCTCAGCAGGATTCTGGAGGGTGCATGGGAATTTGCCCAACCATGTGTTTTGTGGATCTGGAGAAGGCATTCAACCTTGTCCCTCGTGGGGTCCTGTGGGGGGAGTATGGAGTACCGGGCCCTTTAATAGGGGCTGTTAGGTCTCTGTATGACCGTGTCAGAGCCTGGTCTGCATTGCCGGCATTAAGTCGGACTTGTTTCCGGTGAGGGTTGGACTCCGCCAAGGTTGCCCTGTGTCACCGGTTCTGTTCATAACTTTTATGGACAGAATTTCTATAGGCGCAGCCAAGGTGTAGAGGGGATCTGTCTTGGTGGCCTTAGGATTGCATCTGTTATTCGCAGATGATGTGGTTCTGTTGGTTTCATCAGGGCGTGATCTACAACTCTCACTGGAGCGGTTCTCAGCCAAGTGTGAAGCGGCCGGGATGAGGATCAGTGCCTCCAAATCCGAGACCATGGTCTGGAGCCGGAAAAGGGTAGAGTGCCTTCTCCGGGTTTGGGGGGATGTACTGCCCCTAGTGGAGGAGCTTAAGTATCTTGGGGTCTTGTTCACGAATGAGGGGAAGATAGAGCAGGAGATCGATATGCGTACTGGTGCAGCATCTGCTGTGAAGTGTGCACTGTACCGGTATGTTGTGGTAAAGAGAGAGCTGAGCCAAAAAGCAAAGCTCTCAATTTACCGGTCGATCTACGTTCCTACCCTCATCTATGGTCATGAGCTTTGGATCCTGACCAAAAGAATGAGATCCCGGATACAAGCGGCTGAAATGAGTTTTCTCCATAGTGTGTCTGGGCTCTCCCTTAGAGATAGGGTGAGGAGCTCAGTCATCCGAGGAGGACTCAGAGTAGAGTCGCTGCTCCTCCACATTGAGAGGAGCCAGTTGAGGTGGCTCGGGAATCTGATAAGAATGCCTCCTGGACGTCTCCTTGGTGAGGTGTTCCAGGCACGTCCCACCGGAAGGAGACCCAGGACACGTTGGAGGGACTATGTTTCTCGGGTGGCCTGGCAGCGCCTTGGGATTCCCCCGGAGGAGCTGGACCAAGTGGCTGGAGAGAGGGACGTCTGGGCCTCCCTACTGAAGCTGCTTCCCCCGCGACCCGACCCGGGATAAGAGGAAGAAAATGGATGGATGGATGGATGGATGGATGATGATGGATGGATGAATGAATGGATGGATTGATGGAAATGATGAAGTATTTGCAGGTTTTGTTGTTTCATTATTTTGTGAGAAAAAAAAAGAAAGAAAAAAACAGGCCCCTCTTGGCCCCCTGGTAAATGTGACCTAGAACCGCCCAGTTTTTGAACTTTGCAGCATGAAGCTCGTGTCTCCTGTTCCCCGCTGGGTGGCGCCAGCAGAGCGGCAGGAAGTGTTTCTTAGCGGAAAACATGTACTCCACTTTATTTTTCCTTCTTACCTTCTTCTCTTACCGGACCGGAGGGAACCGGCCTTTCAATGGAAGGGGACCGTTTGGACTGGGCCTGGACCTGGATCTGGATCTGTCCACGGTGGTTCGCCGGGTGGATCCCCGCTTTTTGTCCGTCACCATCGACGCCAGCCTGGCTTCACAGGAGAGATTCATGCTGCTGCTGAGGTGAGAGTTACAGCTGAGCTGAGCCAGGCGCGCGCTCCGCACATTTAATCCGCACATTTAATCTGCGCCTGTAAATAAATGCGCCGTGAGGAGCAGCCAGCAGACCCTCTGATGATGTTTGATGTTGAATCGTGGAGATGACCCAGCTGCTGCCTCACAATCACTCAGTTAGGAATAGTTCCAGTTAGAGCCTAAAGTTTGTCTGGATGTGAACCTGAGGGCAGCAGATCCACTCCGTTTCACTTTCTTTTGCTTCTTATTTGTTGCCTGTTTTTAGTTTTTATGGAAGGACTTTTTTTTATTTTGGTCTTTATTGGCTGCCTAGTTTTTAAGGTTCATTCGCTCCCAAAAGGCTTCTTCCCTGAAGGCACACTGCAAAAACGATCTAAAAATAAGAATAACATTTTCTTAAATTAATTCAATTCAGTTGATTTCTATAGCCCCAATTCACAACATGTCACCACAAGGCACTTTACAGCTCATCAGATCATCCAGTCAGATTAATTCAAAGTTTTCCATCTAAGGAAAACCAGTTGATTGCAACTCCAAAGCAATCCCTCACACTAAGCATGCTTGTAGAGATAGTGGAGAGGAAAAGCTCTCAACCTTAATAAAAGTAATAAAAACTAATTCCGTTGGCAAATCATCTTATTTATCTACTCAAATTAAGGGTAAATACACTTAACTTAATTTTTTTTTACTTATTTCTAGATAATTTTCTCAGTTTCTTTACATTTAAAATAATACATATGCATTGTCTTATTTCAAATGTATAATACCTAATTATCTTATTTTAAGTGTAAAAGTACTCATTCCTTTGGCAGATCATCTTATTTACCTACTCAAATTAAGAGTAAGGACAACTGATTTAAGAAAATTGTACTAAATTATGGATCATTTTTGCAGTGAATCCAACTGTTTAAACACTTTTGTAGAAGTTAGAGTATCAAAGTATAAAAGCACCTTTTTTTTAACTTCTTAAAGTATAAAAGTAAAAGTAATGCAGGAGAAAAAAAGTTAAACACAGAAGATTTATTGCACTGCCCTATTAAAAGACATTTATTTGTCTGATGAATAATGTCTGATGAATAATGTCTGATGAATAATTACTACAGTAAAGTATAGATAGCCATAATTTCTCTTTAAGTAAGGTAACAAAGCATTTGTACTCTGCTACTGGACATCTCTGCACTGGGACCAGTGGAAGGTAATGGTAGAGAGCAGGTTAGAGTTACCAGGTCAGATGTTTAAGCTGAGCAGTAAATTTACCCTCACTGCTCTCTAATCCTTTTTGCCTCATTTCCTCTGCAGGTCTCAGAGGATCCGGACTCTGACCAAAGCTCTGAGTCCAGCCTTTCTAAGATTCGGAGGAACCAGACAGGACTTCATGGTTTTCAGTCCTCAGAGCAGCCAGCAGCCGGATGCAGGTCTGAGAATCTCCTTCATCTGAGCAGCAGCTTATCTTTTTTGAAAATAATAAGATATTCTATAATATGTTGTAGAACAAATTTCAGTTTCTAGAATAATCATTTCCCAGTTTTACCTTTGGTTTGGTCCCATCTTTAAGGTTTCCTCGGGTCAGTTGTGTTTTAGGCACACAGACTTTTTTCTGCAAAATTATGTTATTTTGCCGATAGAGTGAAACAATACGGCTGAAAGTTGTGATGATGTGGCAAACATCCAGCACAGGGAAAAAGGGGTTGAAACCTCATAGCACATCCAGCAAACAGAAATGTTGTCCAGCTCAAAGGACTGAATATAGATAGCACAGGTGGGGGGGCAGAGTTTCTCAGAGCATTCAGGTTTTGAGTGAGGTTGTGTGAGTATTTTTTTTTTTATTCTTCATTTTTTACTTTTTTTATCGTGTCGTGCTCTGCCCAACACTTTTGCTTCTCAAAGGGGGCCTTGTCGGGGTGAAAAACCTCCCTTGATCATCCAATACTGTTTATTATTTATTTAAGATTTATTTTTATTACAGAAGTAAGATTAGTAATGTCAAACATGACAGGTAGATAGGAGAAGAGAAAGAAAAAAGAAAGAGGAGACGAAAAAAAAAAACATACAATCAACTGTTGTATCTGTAGAAGACCCAAAAAAAAAAAAAATGGAGGAAGAACCTGCAGGAGCTCCTGCAAACAGACATGATGAATAGGGGGCGGCACCACCGGCCCCGCTGCAGCAATCTGGAGGGGGCAGAGGGGACCTCAGCCCCAGTCCTCCAGCGGCCATCCCGGACAACTGAGACCAGAAAGACCACCGCAGAGACAACCGGGCCCCCACCCAGAGGGTCACAAAGAAAGCCCCCAGCAGAGCCCCCAAGTGCATAGGGCTGTGGCCCCCTCAGGAGCCATGAGCGACAGCAGTCCGTCCCCCCAGGAACCGGCCCCCCAGACACAGAAACCTGAACCCCACAAGTCCAAGCGCCACCAAACCGCTCCAGCAAAGCCCACACCCCTGAGCGTGAGAGAGTCAGGCCCCCCCGGGCAGCCCCATACTGACCCCAGCACCACTGAGGCTGTGTGAGTTTAAGAGCTGAACAACGGTCTCAATACGCACTCAGGTCAGTGGCACAGAAATAATGCCATAGAAATCCAAACGCCCCCATCACCATCCTGAATGTAAGAAGAACGTGACACGGAAAAGGAAACTGAGACCAAACATGCAGTGTTGCATAAAGTACTGAAATCTCAGAGTCAAGTAAAAGTATAAGTAACTCTCAAAAATATGACTTTGGTAAAAGTCCAAGTCACTGACTGAAATGTTACTTGAGTAAAAGTCTTAAAGTATCTGAAATGGCTTGTACTTAAGTACAAGAATTACTGTAAAAATAGATGTACTCAAGTAATGTAGTGAAAAGTATAAGTAAAAAGTAAGTGCAGTTTGAATTACTTTTTTTTTTACATTTTGGTAAACTTTGAAGGTTAAATTCACTTAAAATAATATAAACAACCAATTGTAGAATAAATTTACACTGGCTTTGCGAAACAGGCGTATCCTATTGGTGTTGATGAACAAGCCCAGGCAAGACCCGACTTTGTAGTCAGTAGGTGGGGAAAAAAGACATTGTTTTTTTTTTACTTAGTAACTAAACCAAATATTGAAAATGTATTGAATTAAAAGTATGCAATTAAGTTTGTAAATGTAGTGAAGTAAAAGTGAAAGTTCTCTAAAAGTATTTATACTCTTGGAAAGTATAAAGTACTCCAAAATATACTTAAGTACAGTAGTGAAGTATTTTTACTTTGTTACTATACAACACTGCAAACATGCTACACACTCCGTCTGTAGCAGGCATGTTAGGAAAGGCAGAGCACTGATTCTGCCAAGGGAAATGGTATGGCGTCATTTCTGTGCCACCGACCTGAGTGTGCAGCTACCAGTCAGTGAGACCAACGTGCTGCACCTAAAACCTGCCTGGACGGCTCTGGAAAGCTCCATCCTGCCACCTTTGCTCATAGTTACTCCTGTTCTTCACATGCTCAACAGTGTTTCTGTGTGCGTTCGACCTCATCTCTGCTCGCTCAGCCTGATCCGCGCTCGCTCACACGCTCTATCTCTGCACTAAAGACCGACTGCATGTGAATGAACTTCACTAACCGGCCAGTCAAAGACAGACCTTTTTCATCCAGTCACAGTAAGCTAGATGACATTTTAAAAACACTTTAGTCTCATTGTCAGGGTTTTATTGTTGTATTTGTCTTGGGTGGAATAAAGGAAAACAGACTTAAGGCAAAGAAGGTCCTTTCTCATGTGGATCTATCTCAAAACATCTCTTGTGGTAGAAACCGTAGAAAGTTTTGCATCATTTGGAGCTGGAAGAAGAAAAAAAATCTGTAAATAAGACAAAAACATTTTTCAAATTTGATTTAAGATTAAATATTTTACATTAAAATATAAAGGTTGGTGGCACAAAAATGACAACATGAAAGGTCATAACAAAAAATATCAGTGGTAAATAAAGATGTATAAAGAAAATGTAGTTGACAATTCTAGTTTAGTTAGGGTTCGTTCACAAAAGCCAAAAATGTTTTTATATTTGACATAATTCCTGCCGGTGTTTCGGTGTCTACCCTTGGTTTCCCAGAGATGTCACGTAAAAAAGTACAAATACTTTGTTACTTTACCTAAGTAGAAATTTTGATTATCTATACTTTACTGTAGTAATTATTTTATAGACAACTATTTACTTCTACGCCTTCCATTTTGAAAAATGCCTAGTTAGTTTTGTCTCATTTCAGTTCATTTTCATTATGACCTGTTTGTCATGATTTTATCAAGAGCTCGGACCCACATGCAGAGAAACCAATACAGAGAGACCAGGGGAAAGGTTTAACAGGTTTATTGAGAAGCTTGTGGAGATTCCAGTGTTGCTCTGAACACTGCTCAACCGGAACTGAAAGGTGAGGGGAAGACACTGAAGAAATTAAGAAATTGTTTGCAGACTCACGTTTTCAGAAAAGTGGTTGACTCTTTAACCCTAGTTGGTGTGGGGTGTTCCAGTGTTTGTCTGATTCGGTGGAGGGCAGACAGGGTTTACCCAGAATGAGGTTGTTAGTAGGAGAACAGAGAAACTGACTGCCACACGGATTTCCTGCGGTTCTTGAACTGACTGTGGTGCAGATGAATCCTTTGCTCAGTGTGAAACTCAAACGATCCCTTGGAGGAAAGTGGATCCAAACCTCCAGTTTGAATCCCCAGCTCAGCTTGAGGCACAGTTTATCCTTCCAGGGAGAGAAGGTCCAAAACGTCCAGTTTGCAGGATGACTTCCTGCTGAGAGGCAAAAAAAAAAATGGCAAGATTAAAACTCAGGTTGACAAAAACTCAGTTTGACTCAGCAAAACTCAGCTTGGCTAGAGTACCCAAAACTTTTCGTTCAGATTTCAATCCGTTTTCTCATTAATGGGCCTGAGTTTAGGGCGATGCGAGCTCAGGGGAGCTCATTCTGGGCACAACAGATGAATAATTTGACTATTTTGAAGTCAATGTTACTGATGTTGCCCTATCTGATCACTTTTCTGTTACCTTTGAGGGCATCATTTCCAGTGACTCATTTAGCCAAAGGGACATCATAAGAAAACGCACCTTTAAGGAAAATGCCACAGAAACTTTTATTCAAGCTTACTCTGCTACTTCAACCTTGGGCTGCAACTCAGTAGATGAGCTAGTAGATAACTTTCAGTCTAAAGTCTCAGACATCATTAGCTGCATTGCTCCAATTAAAGTGAAAGTCTTTTCCGAAAGAAAAAGAAAGAAAAAATCTCCTTGGAGAAGTGCTCCAGCAGTTAGAAGTGAAAAAGGGAGTGTCGAAAAGCTGAACGCAGGTGGAGAAAGACGAGACTCCAAGTTCACTATGACATCTATAAAGAGAGACTTTACAGATATAGCTTACAACTGAAAAATGCAAGAGAATCTTTCTTCTCTGAAATCATTAACAAACATTAATACTTGTGCGTTATTTGCCACAGTCGACAAGTTAAAGCTACAGTGTGTAATAATTACAGGGATATACAGTCAGAAATGTAATATATTATACATAACTATGTTATTTATCATCATCTACGAGCTCAGCCTCTTAACCTTAATATTTGCGTTGCCTTAGAATTCGTTATTTATAATTACATAGGAGCGGGTCTCGCAGCCATGGAGGCAGACATATTTGCGCTACGGCAGCGCAGAACAGACAAACTAGCGATTGCGAGATCGCCAAAACGTCACAACGATGTAGAAAAAATAACGGGTATATTTATTATCTTAAGTCTACATGAAATCTATACCCTACACAGACTAATGAAATACTATCTGTAAAATTATCTATGTAAACAAACCTCATCACTTGAGAAGGTAGGTGATGCGGACGTTGTGGAAGACATTTTGTCCAGTAACGCTCGCCGTACTGTTGGGGGGGAGAAGCGGTGGGGGGAGATGTTCATGTTGCTGCAGTCTGCAGACTGACCGCTAGATGTCGCTAAAAATTACACACTGTAGCTTTAACAAATCCTCCTGTGCCCGTGGCTCCTGAACTCCACTCCACCAGGGCCCTCAATGGATTTGCTAATTTCAATTCAATTCAATTCAGTTTATTTATATAGCGCCAAATTCACAACACATGTCATCTCAAGGCACTTTACAGTTCAACCAGATCATCCAGTCAAATTGATACAAAGTTTTCTGTCTAAGGAAAACCAGCTGATTGCATTGACTCATTGACTCAAATACAATCCCTCACACTAAGCATGCTTGTAGCGACAGTGGAGAGGAAAAACTCCCTTTTAACAGGAAGAAACCTCCAGCAGAACCAGGCTCAGTGTGAGCGGCCATCTGCCGAGGCCGACTGGGGTTCAAGGAGACGGAAGCAGAGACACAAAAAGCAGCTGTAAAAGGCGGCCCCATCCAGGAAACACACAGCCAGGCAGACGAGCTCCGAGC